TTACAACTTTTATTTAAAGTTTTTTGTTATCAAATGTTTTGAAATACTGATCGTGTTCCTGTTTTCTACCTTAATCACACACCAGCTAACTGACACGATGAATCGTGGGATGAATGTAACAAATAATGGCCATTTGTTAGTAGCTAAAGCACAACTTGTCGTGTGTGTATGTATTACACTAGTATGTACCTATGCTAGGTTGGACCCCCTTTTACGCTCCAGAACTTAAAGGTTGAAAATGGAACGTCCATCCATTTTCCATCTCGCTTGTCCATGCAGGGTCGCAGAGGGCTGGTGCCTCTCTCCAGCATCCTTGGGGCAACAGACAGGGTACACCCTGGAAAGGTTGCCAGTCCATCGCAGGGCAATGAGACACATAGGACAATGATGCATGCACACACTCACACCTAAGGACAATTTAAAGAGGCCAGTTAACTGACAGCCATGATTTTGGACTGTGGGAGGAAGTCTGAGTACTCGGAGAGAGCCAACATGTGCACAGGGGGAACATGCAAACTCCATTCAGAAGGACCCCAGGCTGGGATGTGAACCTGACCTTCCTGCTGCAAGGATACAACACTACTGCACCACTAGCAAAGTATCAAGGAGCAAGAGCGATGTTAACCATGTGGCAGTATTTTTAGTTGCTCAGTGCACCATTTGCCACGCACAAGTTTCCCATGGTGGAACAGAACTGGGAAAATTGAATGTGTCCAAACTCATTGTGCGTTTGAAGCAGCGCCACAGAACACTGCATGAGGATTTTTGCAGTGAGTGAAACAGAAACGTAGGACACTCAACTTGTAGCAGTTGGTAAATAGACAATATTTATTTTCTTATGTCCCTGCCCTCAGCTGTTCCTACCATTTGCTGACAGTAAAACAAGTGAAGTTACCTTGAATTAGTATTTAGCACTTATAAAATACATCTTTTTGTTTGTTTACTTAAATTATTTTTCAGAATCTTTTAATTCATTATTTGTTTCTTTATTCATTTGTTTTACATCCTGTTTAAGGTTCACAGGTTTATGCAACCAGTAGTTAATAAAACTTTGGTCGGTATTTTCATACTTGCTGTTATTGGCTCTTGTTTTCCGACTGAGTAATATCACCTGAGCAAACCTTTCATACATTCCACACTACGAAATAAGTAAAAGCATGTATGATTGTGCTGATATCGTATCGGATTGATATCGGTATCGGTCAATACTGAAGGCTGAAATATCGGTATCGTATCGGCATCCCTAATTGCAGGTTGTTGTTAACGGTCCACTCAGCACAGCGAGGCTGGTGCTGTGAAAAACGGTGGGCTCGGCAAGTCAAGCAGCTGCTTCTGAGCCCAGAAGATGTTATCCTTCTCAGAAGAGGAGCAACCATAAAAGATCTAAAAAAAAAAAAACAGAGTTTAGGTGAAGCCTACCGCAGATGGACTCAAATAAAACAGTTCACGTATCGGCAGGGAACCTGGTATCCCGACGGCTGGAAACCTTGTTCTGTTGTTGCAACTACAACCTCCACACACTAGATGTCACTTTGGGGTTCATGTTCCATAATCCAACTTTAATTCAAACAAAGTCTTGTAAATATTCCTCAGAAGTTCTGATCATTACAGACATGATAGCATCGGCTTCATGTTGAAAACCTCACATTCCACCACATCCCAAAGCTTCTGGACTGAGATCTGGTGACTGTGGAGGTAGTTGGAGTCCAGTGAACTCATGGCCATGTTCTGGAAACCATTTGGAGATGATCTGGGCTCTGTGTCGTGGTGCATGATCCTGCAGCACGTAGCCATCAGAAGATGGGTTCATTGATCATAAAGGGAATGATGTTGATGCTGAACAGGTGATTCAGCAGGTGTGCTGGAGCAGGTAAACAACTAAAACATGCTGGATACAGGTTCTCGAGGACCAGAGGTGGGAGTGTTGGTTTATATCATGGGGATGAAAAATGCTCCGTTTATATGTTTCACCACAGCGCAGCAGGGGAGCTCATCTCAAGTCTTCTTCACCACATTCATGAACACATTAAATAGTTACCAAAGGGCTGGTTGATTAAAGGAGTGCAACACTGAAATACATTTTTAATGATTTCTGATTATAATCGGTCACTCTGAGTTTTTCATGCAGGCTGAACATGAAAATAGTCTCCTACACCTATCTCCTGCATTAGCTTCTGATAAAAACAGACGGTGAAACTCTAGGATTAGAAAAGCCTGACAGATCTACGTCACACTGTCACTAACATTCATGGACTCATCCATCTGGACTCACGACGGGGAAGGCTGTTGTTGGTTTAGCATCCAGGAAACAGCAGAGAACATCTCAACTAGTAGAAGCTAACTGTTAGCATTAGCAGCTCCTCCACAAAGCAGAACCCCTCCAGCACTTTAAATATTTGTGCAAACAATCAATTGACCAGGTGTACATAATAAAGTGACTGAGTTTAATGTGCGTTTGATGACGAGGCATAATTGAGACTGGCATCAACTTGAACAGAAAGAACTACAGATTAATAAAAAAGTAATATTCCTCATTTAGGCACCAGGAATATCTACAACCGGTATTCCTAACGTGTCTTCAGGTCCCGTCTAAAAAGCTAATTTGATGAGTCTGAAGTGATCATTCCAAATTCGTATACCAGAACATGCAGCTGTTTCTGAAAACCTCTCTGCAGCATGCAGAGGTTTGCACATCAGCAGGTCTGCCATTTCAAAATGTCCCTCATCACCGGCTGAGTACTTGCCCTGAGAAGACTTAAACAGATGTATAATTATTTCCCCACAAGACCTTGCGTGTGGAGGCACCACCTTCCCACACTTGCTGCTTGCCACCGAAACTCGACCTTAACTGAACAGTCCAACCGGGGCAACATTAGCTGAGTGCTCCATGCAAACAACACAAAACTGTCAGATATCATGACAACGAACAACAAAGTCCCATCATCATCTTCCTGCTGTTTACCCACCACTAAACAACAGCTGGACTCACATGAAGATGTTCAGCAACAATCATGAGCTGCCAAAACCCATGAACTCCAGACAAAGCATGGCATTGTTCAGTGTAGAAGCTGCAGCAAGCAAAAAAATGAGCTGCGTCGGAACAACCGGGTTTAAATTGGCCCGCAACATGCCTCCTGACCACTGTGAGCCTCATGAAGCAAGCCCACAGAGTTTAACCAATCAGGACAACATGTACAAAGACATTACAGCAACAAATGAGTCTGTCTCCCTGTTTCACTTGGTCTTTACAAGCTACGGAAGCCTCTTCAAGGGTTAACAGAAGCCATGAAGCTGCAACACATCTGACACGGCCAACATTTCTGTCAGCATCTAGAACAAGATCTTAGGTGATGCATTACATCCTCTGTGGTTCCACAGCATCTGCGAACAGCTGGACAAAAGGGTGCTCGGCTGCACAAGTTAAAGTGAGTCTGGCTTTGTCTGCAGAGGAAAAGCGGCCATGCAGCTGGATGGTCCTGCTACCAGCATGTGTTAAATTCTTCCACTTCGATACAACAGACGGGTGGGATTACATTATAAGTACACCACAGACATATTGTTACTGTTTTAAATATTGTTATAGATATTAATCATGAGGCTCCTTTTTTTTAATTATTTGTTTACAAACATTTCAATAAAGCAAGATTGAAGAATTGTTTGGAGAAACAGATTATTTCTGATGGGATTGATAGGCTAATGGCTAGTGTGAGAGAACAATACCAAAGTGCATGTCTACACATCTTAACAAACTCCCCAAAATTAAACAGCAGTTATTCTAAAAACCATGGTAGTGCCCTCAGTTTTAGTTTTCGTGGTTATTCACACTCACCACAGGTTACAACAGAAGCGCTACAGCTAGCTGCTGCTGTTTACACCTGCAAACAAAACTCTGATGTGTTCATTTTATTTTACTGCTGTTTCCTGTACAATGGTCACAGGGAACACAGATATTGGCCAAGAAGTGACTAGAAGTCTATATCAATATGCAACTTTATATCAATACTCATGAAGCTCCATTTAAACAACCACAAAGGTCTTTTAAAGAGTGGAACACCCCTTTAATCAAGACCATTTGCAGTGGTCTCTAGTAGGAATTAATACCTTGCGAGTGGTACTCTGGGGAAAAAAAACACCGGTGCACCATTTTCAGGAACTAGCAGCGAGCCACATCACAAGCTGTAAAATGTCAAATGTTTTCAAGTAACTGCTGTACAGCATGTCCTCTAAACTTAGAAGGCGAATATTTTCATAATCATTTAATAAGATTTCTTTAAACCTGTTTTTCTCATGGATCAGTCAGGATCCCTGGGGAACCATGAAGGCATCATGTGGTTGATCAACTTCACACATCATTCATACAAATGTTGGAGTCTGATCTACGAGAGCCTCCAGTTAGAGGAGAGTTTGATCTGAATCACTCAGCAGACCTTCAGCTCCCAAATAAAAAGAATAGAGGCAAAGAGCTGGAGCTGCTTTTCTGTGGGTTACCCCTCCTCCCCGAGTCTCACAGACTCGTGTGTCTGTTTCCAATCATACACTGGAATCTCTCTCTCTCTCTCTCTCTCTCTCTCTCTCTCTCTCTCTCTCTCTCTCTCTCTCTCTCTCTCTCTCTCTCTCTCTCTCTCTCTCTCTCTCTCTCTCTCTCTCTCTCTCTCTCTCTCTCTCTCTCTCTCTCTCTCTCTCTCTCTCTCTCTCTCTCTCTCTCTCTCTGTGTGTGTGTATGAGGGAGTCAAAGTGCAAATGAATGATATGGGCTGTATTTCAGGTATTTGCATAATCACGGTAAAATCTTCGAATGCATTGGTTCTGCAGAGTCAGCAGGAGTTCTGCTTGTTTTGGGTGTTTATTTTGTGAAACCACGCACGCGCCACAGAACCGGATTTAAAGGTAAACTGAGAACTCATGCTGAGTCGCGTGGATGCCTGTTATAACTCGAGTACAGATGTTTTAAATCCCGACTAGAATAAACACCCAGGCTCTGGTGAACCTGGAGACCTTACCTGGACGCGCTGCTGAAGAACTCCACAGAATAACCGAAATAACTCCCCCGGGGTCCCGTGAACACCACGCGCGTCTCCACGTCCAGGTTAAAGGCGGCACAGAGCTGGACCCAAAGGACCACTACAGGTAGTATCAGAACGGCGCGAAGCTGTCCCAGCAGCCGGTGTGTAGGTGGAGGTCCAGGTGGGAGCGCGCCCATCTTCTGCTTTCACGCAACGGCCACGCCGCAATACGCATCATCCGTGCTGGTCCTTTTGTGGACAATCTGGGGCCTTAAACATAAATCTGCTTCCTGTAAAATAAAAATAAACCCACTGCAGCTCCAACAGGTCCCGGGTGGAGGTCCAGAGTGAACGGTTCAGGATAAGCAGAGAGGGAAATGCTGGGAGAGGGAGGGAAGGAGCCGGGGTGGAGCTCTAAGTGTTCCCAGACCATCTCCAGTCTGAGAAAGATCAATTTACTGTGATTTAAGAGACAGCGCATTCACACGCATCACTCATGTGAGATATTAATGGATTTGTGTTTATGTTTTGGCCAAAACCTTTAGTGTGGAAATGTGTGCCCAAAACAAGTCTTAATGGTCTCCTCCTGTCTTACGTTTACATTGTTCTTACTGTTGCTTACAGATTCTGGGCTAACTAACTAACTGTCACGTTGTGGGGAAGTTTAGGACCCAAATATGCAGATTACCCAGGATGACGAGGCAGTAGTTAGTAAAAGTAAAAATCCTTTATTTTAGGAAGAACAAAAAATAAATCCAAATGGCAGCGAGCCAAGAATCCAAAGTCCTGGAGCACAGGACACCGAAAGCTCACTTAGAGCACCAAAGTCTAGGAACAAAAAGTCCTGGGACACAGGACACCGAAAGCTCACTCGAGCACCAAAAACCTGAAAACACAAAGCTCAGAGCACAAACAACGCTGACAACAATACAATGGTCCGACACCAAACAGAGACAACACAGGGCTTAAATACACAGGGAGAACAATTAAGGAAACAGGAAGCAGGTGTGTGGAGTGAGGGCTGGAGGGAAGGCAGGTGACAATTGATTACCTAAATGGGGAAACAGGACCAAAGGAGGACAGATAAACCTAAAACTATAAACACAAAACTAAACCTAAAGACTGAGGGAAGGACTCACACACAATAACACACACATACACTCACACACACATACACTGAGCTGGGGAGTGGACACACACACACACACACACACACACTAACACACACATACACTCACACACATACACTGAGCTGGGGAATGACACACACACACACACACCGAGCTGGGGACAAAGAGGCTGGAGTTACAACTGGAGGGGCTGAGGATGACTAAATGTACACCGGACCTGAGGGAATTATATGAAGGGCTACAAACAGAAGACACATAAATGAGACACAGACAAAGGACACATGAGGGTGCTATGAGACACAGAAGGGAATCTAGAGAGGGATGGAGAAACATCAGGAGACACATGAAGGAAGACGCATCATGACTAACTAACTAACTAACTGCTAAATTATTGCATTAGTTATGTTCTTATAACACTGACCAAAGTCAGGCTGCCACAGGGTCTTCTGAGACTTGCTTAAGGGTATAACAACAGACACGGACGAAGTCTGGGTAGCAACCCAACAGCTAAAGAGCAAACTCCTAGCCCCTGAGCCTTTGTCAACCCTTAAACTTCTTCACACACCACACAGTTGTGGCTTTAATCGTATGAAGAGACATCCAAAAGCCAACTGCACCAATAAGGTGTATAAAAAAGCTGACCCATGTTCTGATGATTCTGCTGACAGTTGACTGATGAATGTTGATGAGGTCTACATCCATCCTTCTCATCTGACTTGGGGATCTATAGGCCCTGTACCAGAAGACCCAAAGTAACATCTCAAGTTTGAAGGGTGCCCTGCTCAGCCTTGGAGGCTACACAAGTTTCTATTCAAGCTGATGGCTAAACTGAGCTAGCCAACCAGGAGCTGGAAACTTCCCTTTGTTCAGTGACTTCCAATCCCACATCTGGGAACAAACTTGGCAGGTATGGAACCAGACTGAGAGCGTCCTGCTCCTGATTGAACAACAAAATGTCAGCCTCAGTGACAGTGTAACATCCAGAAAGGGTCAATTTTGACCTATATATTGACCGCATAGTGACCGGTCACCTACAGATGTAATTCCACTATCTAGGTGGAGTTGCTACTCTATCTTCTAACGCCCAGAAGATTCTGCAGTGCTTGTTGACAGTCCATGAGGACAAGATTGTCAAACGTATCTCACACTGCGGGATTCCACACTCTGAATGAAAAGTGAACTTTTACAACTCAAAAGTAAAATAATCATAAATAATCATATGGTTGAGGTAGCCAATTGGCTCCTTGGTTTGAAAACATTGACATATATATATATATATATATATATATATATATATATATATATATATATATATATATATATATATATATATATATATATATATTTATATATATATATATATATATATATATATATATATATATACATATATATATATAGTGGGTTTCCATAGACTCCAATAACACGTTTTTCAGGAAAATTGGGAGGTGGCCACCACCGCCATTTTGACCGTGTCACAGGTTCCCAGACAATTCCACAAAAGGGAAGAGAGGTGGAGCTGAGGGTGGGGCTGCAAGGCTGGGATCAAATGACGACATCTGGTTGAACTAGCTAGCTAACCTGAAGCTAACGCAGAGGTGGGAACTAAGCTAATGGAGGTAGCTACCTAGCTACAACTGGAGCTAACTCTGTGGAACATCAGCGACCTGAAGCTCACACGGAGTTTGTGTGGAGGTTTGCGGTGCTTTTTCATGAAAACTATCTTTCTGTGAATAAAGAAGTATTAAATCGGTAAGTTTATAAGTTATTTTCTTAATGAAAATATATTTTTCTTTGAGCAAGTTTTCAATATTTTTAACGTACCGTAGTTTCTGGACTATAAGTCACTCCGGAGTTTAAGTCGCACCAGAGATAAAATGTATAATGAAGAAGAAAGAAAAACATACATAAATCGCACTGGACTATAAGTTGCATTTGGGGGGAAATTTCATTATTTTTCTTACAAAATCTGAGACCAAGCGTTTCACATTGCAAGACAAGTACCGGTAACAATAACAGAATAAACAACACAAGCGCAGCAGCGCGCCACGGTCTCCAGCAGAGGATGGCAGTGTTTGAAACCCTCCCAGAGAGGCAGGGGAGCTCATTCCTGGGTCGGAGCCGGCCCGCAGCAGCGCACAACAGGCTCCGGCAGGTGATGGCTGTGTGTTTTTTATTCCCTGCAGAGCAGGTGAGCTGAAACCTGGGTCGGATCCAGCCCGCAGCTGCGCGCCACAGTCTCCAGCAGGTGATGGCTGTGTGATTTTAGTTCCCTGCGGGTCAGGGGAGCTCACTCCTGGGCCGGATCAGGTGCGAAACGGTGCGCCACAGGCTCCAGCAGGTGATAGCTGTGTGTTCTGTATTCCCAGCGGGGTAGGGGAGCTCATTCCTGGTCTGGAGCCGGCCAGCAGCAGCGCGGTATAACCTACATAATTTGGTATATAAGTCGCCCCGGAGTATAAGTCGCAGGACCGGCCAGACTATGAAAAAAAGTGTGACTTACAGTCCAGAAAATACGGTAGTTATTAGTATTTGAGATAAATTAGCACGTTAAATACATTTAATATATTGATGTGACGTGTGATATGATGTGAAATGTTGGCTGACCACAAATTTTCTACATCTTAACGACTCCAAGACTGACCTTATCCTATTCAATCCGGCCAGACCTAGTGCATTTCAAACCTCAGATCTTTCTTCCATTTCTCCAAATCTAAAAAACGTTGTAACAAATCTAGGTGTGAAGATGGATTCATCTCTAAGGATGGACGCCCAGGTTAATGCCACTGTAAAATCTTGCTTTTTCCAACTCCACCATCTGGTCAAATTGAGAGCTGTCTTATCTAGAAAGAATCTGGAATCAGTAGTTCACACCTTTATCACATCTAGGCATGATTACTCAAATGCTGTTTTACTAATGCTGTTTTACTGGGTGCTAATAAATCACTTAACATATCGGACTGAGGTGGAAAGACCTTCTCCCTTTCTTTTTCCACTCCCTGCGAGGAAGAGCAGCTCCTGATGTTCTTCTCATCCACTGTGGCAGCAATGGCATGGGGGTGGTCAGCAGTGTGAAGCTGGTCGACATGATGAAGGAGGACCTGCATCGACTTCACCTTCTACACCCTCATATGATGATCATCATGTCATCCATCACTCAAAGGTGTAGCTGGAGGGCAGGTGTAAAACCTGCTAAAGTTGAGGCCAGGAGGTTTGTCAACAGTGTTATGGCTACATTTATTTCTAGCTTAAATGGTGCCGTTGTTGTGCATCCTCACATCAGACATGACAGTCCAGGGATATTTTTGTCAGACAAAGTTCATTTCACAAATAGGGGAAATTATATATTTTTAACTAATATTGCAGATTGTCTTAATGGCCAGCTCCAAAAGCAGTGAAAGACTTCCAGGTGGGAGTCTCGCTGCTTTTGAATTTGGACTTTAGGACAGATTTATTTTCAGGCAAACAGGATAAACATGTCCCTGACTGTTATAGCTAATGTGTTGTTTATGTATTTTATCTATAGCCATGACACTGTCGACAACTCTGTTCTTCCTTCACAACCCAATGTTCCACTCACTCTGCAGCTCTCTGGGCCCCTTTTATTATTTAACGTTTTTTTTAAATGTATCGACACTTTGTGTCCTGTTATTTTATAAAATCTAATGTAAAAAATAAATGTTTTTGCTCAATTACTGGAATTTCTTTGGTTAAGACATAAAAGGAGGGAATAATCATTTATGCCAATTTATTTCTACAACAGGCCCATTTTAAGTCCAACAGTTTCTAGGCAGCCAATAGAAATGTGTTCTTTACTAACTTTACTTGGTTTAAAAATCTTACTAAAATAAACAAGAGTGCTGTATTGCAAAACCAAATCATACTTGTTATGTAAATATTAGCTTTGTAGATATTTTTTACAGATAGATATTTGTGTGCTAAAAAAAACCATAAACTTAAATAATTTGTCATTCTTTATTGAAAAACAACAAAATACAGGTACAGAAAGTGTGGGTAAATGATAATGTGAAACTATTGCTCTTTAAATGTAATCCTATTTATCTTTAAAAAGAAAAACTCTAAAATGTCCTGTACAGCAACATGACAGAATAAAGGTGGTCTGTCTGTCAGAATGTGCTGAACAGATTTGCTCTATCAAGAGGAGTGTTTTGTGTACGAGTTTATGTTATTGTAATATTGGTTTGGGTTATGTGTCGCCACATTAGCATGTAAATGCTGAACCAATCTGGAAT